GTGCCATGTACAGTGCCCAATGGGCAGAGCCGCACCCTGTGGAGTGTCCAGAAACATGGTGGGGGGGGGGGTGTGCTGGCGCGGTGACCGGTGTGTATATTCCTGTGCAAACACCAGTCATTCAAAAATTTTAATGTATCTAAATAAGCTCAGTGACTCTGTTGAATGTGAGTATTTATAAGAAAACATACAAGAGATTAAGAAACCATATTTATTTCTTCTTTGGTACAACCAGAGATGTTACTACAAACCTTTAAAATACAGAATCTCATCAATAAAACTTTAGAGTGCCAGCATATTAAAAGCCTTCTTTCTTTGCTTTCACATAGATGAGCTTAAAGTATTGATGGGTTTGGGGTACAGTACAAACAATGCAGTAGAAACCCAGACTGATGAAACCAACACAGGACAGAGGGAAATCCTCACCCACACTGTGCAGCCCTCCCCCTTGCCTGAGTGCACACATTAGGAGGGATTTCAGCACCAATTTTACTTGAGTAGTGGAGTTTCTTCTCAGCTAGCCTAGTCATGCTCTATATAACTGAGTCAACAGCCCAGGACATCTAAATTACAAATGAAAGTAAGTGCTACAACTGAGGTACACAGACTGTTTTTTGTTTATTGGCCCAGAGGCCTGCAATATGATGCCACATGTGTAGCACACTGAAAAGTTCAAGATACTGGGAAGAAAACTGTATATTTATTTCAAAAGAATTTGAATTCCTTTCACTGGTGACTCCCTAGCTTCCCTGAAAGGGGGGGGGGGAAGGATTTACTAGATAGCACCATTGTCCTAACTCTGATTGTCCAGGGGTCCTGTGCCACCAGGCTAAAGGTCACCCCTGCATCAGGTAGGGCCTCTCTCTCTGAAGCTCTTCCAGGGTTGGTTTCTGCTACAGCTAGTGTGTCCCTAAACTGGTCACTGGTCAGGGCCTTTGCTAAAAGCTCGCTGGCCAGCCTGCAGGGTGCAGGAGGTTGGCTCACAGAACCCAGGAGGGCCAGGTGGCCCTGGGGGACCAGGCACCCCAGGAATTCCGGCCACCCCGGGGGGCCCTCGCTCGCCATCCCGGCCGTTTCTCCCATAGCTGGCAGGGCCCGGGTCACCTGAAACACACAAAAGGTTGCATTGGTGAACAGGAGGATCTTTTGTGGTTATAAAGCTCACAACCAAGCAGGGCAGCGGACAGGGCTCGGGAAATGGTACATGAGGAAGAGGAAGAAGCAGCCCCTGTATTAGACTGGGTGTCACAGAAGCTCAGAGTAGGAGGAGCCCCCGGCATGTGTGACCCCATGCTCTATCTGTAGAGCTCTACTGACCAAGACAAGCAGCTTCTATCCACATTGTCTGCAGCAGGCCCTGACACAGACTACCGGGACAGAACACACCCAGCGCTCAAAGACTTAGGGTGCAAAGCTGAGAAATAACTCAAGCTTAAGTTTTACACTTACCATATAACAGGAATGATACAATTTTGCAACCAGTGAATAAACTATACAGAAAATGCCCCATTTATACTGGAGTGATGTGTGAGATGTCATGACGTCAAAATGCACCTGACCTGCCCAACCTCATGGCCTCAGGAAGGAACTGGCTGTCCCACGTGTGACCATGGGGCTGGCTGGAAGCTGCAGCTTGCTGTCCCTACCGTGCATCACAGGACCGGGTTAGATGACACAGTACTAGCCAGGAAGACACTGGCGTGGCAAAGCTGAAGGTAGGTTCTGCCAAAATATGCATCACTGTCCGCCCCACTCTACAGTCAAATAATACTAAGTACAACTATCTTACCAGGGATGATCAAAAGGTACGGTGTTCAAATTAAAAATCTTGTTATAATCAACAGTTCCTTGCCTTTACCACACCTCCAAAGCTCCCTGTTACTCCGAACACACTTATCCCACCACTTCTGCCACTTTGCAAAGCTGTTCTAGAACTCCTGTCACATGGGTGTTTTATGAAAAGTGCGGGACCAAAGATACAGGAATGCTGCTGCTGAGTACACTGCAGAGGAAGGGCCGACTCCTAAGAGCTTGACGCTGTGCCCTCAGTCACCTTGTCATCAGCTCTAGTGCTGCGTGGCTGCTGGCCTGGCCCCAAAGGCAAAAGGACCGTGAGAGGTCAAGGTCACCCATGCAGCCGTGACTGCAACGGAAGCCACACGAGAGGACTCCAGACCCGCTTCACAGATTGGCAAGAAGGATGGGGTCAGGGTGTGTGAGGCGAGAGGGAGGACTCCGAGGGGGACTGGCGGCAGTGAGCCTTTCACTATAATAATTTTTTTAAATGGACACATTTACCACAGATTTCCATCGCGCCCTGCAAGTCAGCAACCACTTGGACTAAGAAACCTACTGCCACCTGTGGTTGGTTCTCACCCTCGTAGAGTGCTCCCGGGACCCTGCGCCTGCCTGTGGCTCGCACAGGGCTGTGAGCAGGGCTGCGGCACTGCGACCCTGATTTCTAAGATGTGATCCACACCTGGGCGCGGAGAAGCGCACCTTAATGGTCAGAAAACACAAGTTTTAGGGACAAAGGGCTGCAGGTCCTAGCTCAGAAGAGCGCAGCCACAAGTGGTCGATCTCCGCCTCCTCCTCCGCGAGGTGGCGCAAGGCCGTCCTGGGAGTCGGTCCTGCAACTGGAAGCACCTGCTGGGCGGAGAGCGGTCCTCCGAGACAGCGTCCTTAGTGTCTTCCACATGCCCGAGGCAGGCTCCCTACAAACGCCCTTCATCACCCCCCCCCCTCCCCGGTGGCTTTTCCCTGTGGCCCTCTGCAGAGAAGTCTCATAAGGGCAGGGCTTCCACTTGTCACATTCCCACGTGGCATGCTTCTCCGCTCAGTGCCACCCTCCCTGAGGTCGGGCAGTCTACCGCAAAGAGGAAGTCCTGTTGGCTGTCCCCACTGCGCCCACGGGACTTGGTGGGGGGTGGCAGTGGGGGCAGCTACTCTCACGGTTGGAGCTGATGTTTCCAGGGCGGCACCAGGGAGGGCAGGGCCTGTGGCACTCACCCACCTGTAGACAGAGCTCGCGTGCCATGTACAGTGCCCAATGGGCAGAGCCGCACCCTGTGGAGTGTCCAGAAACATGGGGGGGGGGGGGGTGTGCTGGCGCGGTGACCGGGGTGCTCGGCAGCAATTGGGGACAGACCTGTCAACTTGCACAGGGGTAGCATCACCCAGCACCCCGAGAGCCACAATGCCCCGAGAATATCAAAGGTACTTGGGTCCCTTGTGGCTCCGGGGCTGTGATCTGTACTGGAAGAGGTCTAGCACTTGGAGATGCTGGGAAAGAGAGCTGGCACTTAGAAACGCCGGGAGATGGGCTAGCAGGCTAACACGGGTAAGGAATCTGTGTGGAGTGCGCCGTTTATGCCTGCTAGCGGTAGTCTGAAGAGCTTTCCTCCCTCTGGCCTTCTCCGCCATCTGCCAGAAGCTGGGAGCAAACTGTCCCGTTCCACCTCACACATTCACATAGGCTGACTTCCCTTCTCTCTCAGAGGTTTTTTGGCTTTTCTTTTTCTCTTGTAGTGGTCTTATTCAGTGTCTTCTGCTTGCCTCACTAGTGCCCTGTGCCTACTTTATCTATCTCATGAGGAGGAAAGGAGGTTAGAGACCCTGTTTTACAGAGAGCCATTTATTTTTCATCCTGTGCTTACTTTGAGAGCTACACAAAAAAGCCACGAGGGGGGGGGGAATCAGTGAGTTTCAAGGGAGGATAATCATTGTTGAGTTCGTGTACCTCAAGGGTATTTAGCCGAGACATTAGTTATGGTTTCCCATAAGCTTTTGGCCCGCTGCATTAAGTGGTGATGAAGCAGATGGTTATGTGTTCTCCCATGTGGGCGAAGCCAGCTCCCTAATCCACAGTATTTATAGATGAGGCAGCTACAACTATGCCTCTAGCAAAGACTGTTCAAGCCCTGGTACTTGGAGCAGTAAAGGGCTGATTTTATTTTTAGGGTTTAAAAGGTGCACCAGATCTAGCTATACATAAAAGGTCATTTGCATGCGCTTCTTAGGAGAAATGCTCCCTCTGCACACACATACACACGTACCAGGCCTACTTTAAGAAAATCAAATCAAGACTAGGAGGAGAAAAAGGAGCACAGCCCGAGAAGAGTCAATAAGCCATCGACCTCGGCGGCCATAGCAGCTTCGCAGAGCAGGAGGGCAAGCCCCAGCCACAAGCCAGGTCAGGGTTTCGTGAGCACATGGCCACTGCTGCTGCTGGCTTGCGTTTTGTCCGTGGCTGCTTTTCCGCCACAGGGCAGAGCTGAGTAGCAGGGACAGAGGTTCCCTGCGATGCAAAGCCAAGACAATGTGGTCCTCTCCAGATAAAGTGTGCTGACCCCGGCGTCACAGGAAAGGCCCTGCAGTGATGAGTCCCACACCACCTTCATCAGGAGAAAACCCACAGGACAAGAGCAATGAAACGCTGTCATTGTCACTCCCTTGGTACTGGGGAGACAGCAAGAAGGCAGGGGCCTGTGGTAAGCTGGAGAGTGGATGCCAGCAACAGTTCTCACATCTGGAGAACAGCTGTGTGGAGAATCGGGGGTCACTGTTACCAGCACTTCTGGCAATTTTCAAAAGAAGCTGGCTTTTAAGTAAACAGTTCTCAGGCTGGGGAGATAGCTCAGCGGTCTAAGCACCTGCCCAGCAAGCATAAGGACCAAGGTTTGACCCCTGGTAATTCCTGCTGTGCCAGCCCCAGAACCCAGGTACACCATGTCAGCCACCAACACCGGGCGTGGTGGCGCATGCCTGTAATCCCGGTGCTGGGGAGGTTGAGACAGGAGGATCACTATGAGTCTGAGCTGCACAGTGAAATCCTGTGCCAAATAAATAGTTCGCAAGTTTTCATTGTAAGCAATTAATTCAAGACTCTAACACTAGTAGAGCAAGGTCCCTGCCAGAAATTTTAAATCGGAGGACACGCGTTCTGCAATACAAACATTAAAGAGCAGGAAAAAAAGAAAGGATTTTTCTTTTAGATTTTCCCATTTCGTTTCCCATTTCAACACATTCCAAAAGAAGTTGTTTTTAACTTTCTAAGCTTGTTTCAAACTCCTGCTCCCCAGGAGCTGCCTAACGAAGCTGTCCTCTCTACCCTCTGCCTTAGGTCTTAGCACATCAAGCCCGATTCTGTCTGTGGCAAACGCAGTAGCTGTTCTTGTGCTCTGAATGACGTTCTCTTCTACGACTCTACAAACTGTCCCTCTCTCTTGGGCCGCGCGTGTTCGCTGCTGATCCTGTTTACTTCCTGGGTAAACTGAGTTCAGGAGTTTCCCTAACTCTCCTCAGGCACGTGGTTAGAGACTGCTGGAGTTAGAAACACGGACCTCAGCTGCCACTCTGGCACTGTGTATCCCACACTGTCGCTTTGCCCACTCTGCAGGGCACGTCTGCTCCGCTAAGCGCCGCAGGACCACCTGGGTTTCTGAAAAGTGGAAGAGGCCTTTGCCTAGTATTTCAGAACGTTAAAGCATCCGTGTCATTCTCTGTATGAACAGTAGGGGGCAGCCACGTCGCGCCGACAGAGGCCAATCTGACCCCGGGCAAGCGGACAGAGGCGGCCTCCTAATACAAAACACAGCCCTACACCGTGACACCAAAGGACAAACGCTCTTCAGCGTCAGATACATCTCTCGGTCCTTGGCATCAAAAACAAAAAATAAACCTCTCCTAAAAAACAGTTCAAACAAAAAAAATACGGTAAAATCAAACAAGGCAACTGCAGATACATCTCTGATGTTAGCCCCTGGTTATGTACGCTTTTTGTATGTACCACAGTCATATTTCTTATACAGAGCTAGGATTATTTTGTGGCGCTTACAGCCAGAATGTCAGGTATGACCAATAACAGGTTTCAATTTTAAAAATTCTTTATAGGGCCGTCCAAATAGCTCAGCGGATTAAAGCGCCTGCTTAGGCAGAGCGCAGCAGCTGGGGTTCGATGCCCGCGCCAGCCCCCCCCCCCCCCCCCCCCCCCCCCGTACGCGCTGCGACAGTGGTTGAGACTGGGCGTGGCGGAGCGCACATGTAATCCCAGCTCTTGGGAGGGAGCAGGCAGATCACTACGAGTGGGATCTACTTACTGAGAC